ACAAATTAGGGTTGAGTTAGAAAAAGCACCCATTCTCCCGAGAAAAACAAACGTTTCAAAGGTAAAGTCACTAAATGACATCTATTTTGACCTGCCTTAATCTGTTTTGATTACTTCTGAAGCGCTTTCTTCAGGCTCTAAACCAGGAGAGCAAAACCAGAGGTGGAGCTGTGCATGTAAAGGGTTCAAACCGAGGATTTTTCCACAAACCATCAACCTCTGAGACCTTCTGCACACAGCCCTGTAAAGCAGGGGCGTCAAACTCTTGTAATTACATTTGGCCTGCGAGACAATACCAAATGACTACGAGAGCTGGCCCCCGGTATTATACTGTACAGCACATTAACCACTCATACTACAACTCCCATAATGCCCTGCTGCTGTTCAGGACAGGACCCAGAAACTCCTCTGTGACAGTAGGAAACACTACAGCTGCCTCTTCCCAAAAATGACCCAAAGAAAGGCAGGAAACAGGAGCTTTCTGGACAAGCAAATTTTATTTTGACATTTAATTCAGAAGGCTGCGAATTGAAAAATGTTTTGAAATTTTATTTCATAAATAAATGCCATTGATGTTTTTTTATTTGAAATTTGATTTTGCATGTCCCCACTATTAAGTTATATATAATGTAATAAGAGTTGCTTGTTCCATATTCAATGTTAAAGCAAAATTAGTTTTGTTCCATATTAAAAGGTTTGTTCAGGTTTAGATTTTGGCCCACTGTGTTTTTGAGTTTGAGCTGTAAAGGATGATTCGGTACCTTTATCTGTGGTCGTGCAGCTCTGTAAAGAAGCAGAGCTCCGGAGACAGCGACCCCTCCTATGATGCCGTACTGCACCTCCCAGAAACTCACCAGGAACGTCACAAAGAAGGGCAGCAGGTCCAACCCTGGGGGGCACACACCCGTATCACATCCACCCTCCGATAAACACACCGATCCAAACCATCCATCCATTATCAATACCGCTTATTCCCTGATGGGGTCGCGGGGGGAACTGGAGCCTATCCCAGTGGTCAACGGGCGAGAGGCAGGGTACACCCTGGACAGTCCGCCAGTCCATCGAAGGGCCACACAGAGACACACAAGGACCAACAACCACTCACACTCACATTCACTCCTAAGGGCAATTTTCCCCAATCTCCAATCAACCTAACATGCAGGTTTTTGGACTGTGGGAGGAAGCCGGAGAACC